TAAGTGTTTCTCTTCCATTCAATATTCCTTTACAGAGAATTCTCCATTTAGTTCTGTTTTCCATTTTTTTTTAATTGGATTACTTAAGTTGGTGCTTTTTAACTTCTTTAGTTCTTTATATATACTGGATATTAGCCCTCTATCAGATGTAGGGTTGGTGAAGATCCTTTCCCAATCTCTAGGTAGTTGTTTTGTTCTGACAACAGTGTCCTTTGCTTTATAGAAGCTTTTCAGTTTCATGAAGTCCCATTTATTGATTGTTGCTCTTAGAGCCTGTGCTGTTGGTGTTCTGTTCAGGAAGTTGTCTCCTGTGCCAATGAGTTCAAGACTCTTTCCCACATTTTCTTCTAACAGGTTTAGTGTGTCTGGTTTTATATTGAGGTCTTTGATCTACTCGGACTTTAGTTTTGTGCAGGGTGATAAGTTATGGATCTATTTGCATTTTTCTACATGAAGTCATCCAGTTAAACCAGCACCATTTGTTGAAGATGCTATCTTTTTTTTTTTTCACTATATGGTTTTGGATTCTTTGTAAAAAATCAGGTGTCCATAAGTGTGTGGGTTTATTTCTGGGTCTTCTATTCGGTTCCATTCATCCATCATTCTGTTTCTATGCCAGTACCATGTAATTTTTATTACTGTTGCTCTATAGTACAGATTGAGATCAGGGCTGGAGATATCTCCAGAAGATCTTTTATTATAGAGGATTATTTTAGCAGTTCTGGGTTTTTTATTATTCCATATGAAGTTGAGAATTTTTCTTTCAAGGTCTGTAAAGAATTGTGTTGGTAATTTGATGGGAATTGCATTGAATCTGTAGATTGCTTTTGGTAAGATGGCCATTTTTACTATGTTAATCCTGCCAAGCCATGACCATGGAAGATCTTTCCATCTTCTGATATCTTCTTCTATTTCTTTCTTCTGACCTACCAGTAGACTTGGGGAGGGGCATGGAAAAGGAGAAGGAAGGGGGAGATTGGGAGGGGAGGAGGGAGGGAACTACAAGGAGGATACAAAGTAAATAAAGTATAATTAATAAAGAAATAAAATAGGTATAAATACTTTAAATAGAATATATGTCATAGTGAGATAACACAGTAGATAACGTGCTATGAGATACAGATTCTTAGTCTACACACACACACACACACACACACACACACACACACACCACAAACTTTGCCAGTGATCTAATGAAGGGTAAAGCTGCAGTGAGCATGAATTTCAGTGCTCAGTTGCTGTATGTGTGAGCATTGGTACCCTAGACACCAGAAGGCTGCAAGATCTCAGGGAGCCAGGGAAAGAGTGACCCTTTATTCTAAGAAGCCAGAAAGATAGTATGATGATCTAGAAAACTTCCTTCAGTGCTCCTTTCTAACCTTGGTGGTTCATAAGAAGAGTGGAAAACTATGATGGTGACATCATTCCTTGGGCCCTGATTAGCCACTGAAAACAAGGCTGCAGGTTTTCCAAACTACAAGCCTATGTTCTGGTCCCAAGCACCACAAGCTGCCTTCATCAGAACCTCCCCAGCTTCAGAGCCAAATGAATAAAGGATGCAGGCTTCTTCTGGCAGCCTTAAAATAATTTATATTAATAACATAATTATAATATAACAGTTAGCTAAAACTGCACCTTCAGTGGATAACGTTGAAAGGATAAGACATTTAAAAATATATATTTATTGAACTACTACTATAAAAATGGTAAGAAATTTAAAAAGAGATCCAAATGGTGTTCTTTTTTCCAATATAAGCTAATGAAATAAAATAGAAGGCCAATGCAGCTGTCAGTCTAAAGGTTTGTCATAATGTTCAGCTACCCAGGTGCAGGAGTCAGGGTTTCTTTCTTCCGGCATCCATGCCATCAATCGATTTCATTTTGTTTTTAAAAGTTTTTACAAAGTTTAAGGAAATGTCACTTACTATTTTTTTTGAGCTGCATATAGTGATGAGCCTACTCCTTTTGGGTAGCATAACTGTAGCCATCTTTGTTTCAGATCTAAAAGCCACATCGTCTTTAGCGTGTTGCTGATATAGGAAAAAATAATCTCTATACAAGGTCAAGTTGAACAAAGACTATGTTTATGTTCAGCATACTCTGTGGCCTTGCTACTCGTAGAAACTCCTCAAACATATGCACAGCTGGCCCTTACCATAAACATTACTTGGACCAATCAAATTAAAGGTCAGCTAAAACTGCTTGTCAAGCTAGCGAAAATGAGTAAATAAATAATAAATAAATAAAAACTTGTGTCCGACAAGCCTACCTGGTTTCATTGTGTCCCCCACTCCTTGCTCCCAGGAGAGATAATGGTGGTTTTCACCCTTTAAATATGCAAAACAGCTTCCTCCAGGGAAAGCAGTGCAGATCTCAAACTGACCATCCCCCTGAGCTCAGAAAATAAAGCTTTCATTTCAAGCTTCGGTATCTGAAGGGAGTTTTCTTAACTCCCCCTCCCAAACCCAACAATAGTGTAGCTTAGTTTTTGCATATTATTTCATTTAATAATTTTCCCTTAATTTTTTAAATTCCTAACATCTAAACTATTATTTCTGGTCAGATATTATATTTTCTTCTTGGTGAAAGCCTTTCTGAAGGAGCAAGATGGAATCTTGGGTTGTTTTGATTTACATATTTGAGAGGCAATGATGTTGAATGCCATTTCATGTATGTTTTTGATTTTTGTGTTTTTTTAAAGTTAATTAAATAAAATTTTTGTTTTAATAAACACACTTTTACTCTTAAAAAGTAATGATAAAGTACAAACTTTTCATTACTTTCTTTCTGTCTTACGAATTTTATCTACCTTGGAAACTTTTTATAACTTGTTTTAATTTAATCACTTTATAGCCTTATCACATTCCAGTCCATCCTCTCCCCCCAGTCTCCCCCTCTCTTTTGGGGGGGAGGGGGGAAGGGGAGGCGTCAGTCTGTTCAATTCATTTACCTGTGCACTGATTGGGTCACTTGAGCCGCGGTGGGGTTTTCGGAATTCTTTCTAACCTGGACTGCATCCTCATCTGGTACAAAGCTGGCCACATCTCTCTCCACCCCTAGGATGGCTTGTCACTTTCTTCCTTGCTTCCTTTGCTGTGCTGGAACTTTGCACTATTATGCATTCACATTCGTCGATTCCTGCTGCTGTTTCCTGAGCTATCCTTACCCTTTTGAAGAAGTCACATAATTCTGGTTTCCTTCATAAAATCTACTTACTAGGGTGATCTCTCTGGATCTCTGTGTCTCCCTTTCACAATGTGGCCACACTAAATATTTTTCCTTTTTTTTTTGATTACCACTTTTAATTTGACTTTTAGTTGACTTATAGATGACAAGAGGCTGGACTGTCCAAACACATGTTGAAGACAGGACAGATTTTAGGTTTAAGGTTTTGTGGCTGGGTTAGTATCCCAGTCCCACCACTGAAAGCTTTGACATGTCATAGAAAATGGCAGATTCTGGCTTTCCCCAACACTAGGAGTCTTCACTAGGTCCCTCTTGTAGATTCCAGTAGATTTCCACTATCCTAGGTTTCTATCTCGCCCCCTCAAATGCCCCCAGTTCCAGTAGTCTCTCTCATTACTCTCTTCCTCTATTCTCCCTGCCACCTGCTCCCTTTTCTTTACGTTCCCAATTGCCCCCCCCCCGGTCAACACACAAATTCTGCTCTATTTCCATTCTCAGAGAGATCTATTCATTCCCCCCTTGAACCCTCCTTGTTACTTAGCCTCTCTTGGTCTATGGATGATAGCATGAATTTTATTTACTTAACAGCTAATATCCACTTAGAAGTGATATCATACCATGTTTGTCTTTCTAGGTCTGGGTTACTTCAGAATAATTTTGTGCCTGGTCTTACTGTACCATGTAAGGCCTGCTCTTTTCTGAAAAAAAAAAAAAAAAAAAAAAAAAGGAAAACGAAATGGAGAAATGAAGCTGGGGAAGAGGGGAGGTAGTGCAGGGGAACTGAGATGAATAGAGGGAGTAGAAACTGCAGTCAGGACATAATGTGTGAGAGAAGAATAAAAAAAATCCAAGAAACAAAAAATTATTTATCATTAATAAGTCAGCTTTATTCTAGAAATAAATGGGATGGTTTGACATGTTCCAAGCCAATGAATTTAATACACAATCACACAAATGGAATGAAGAACAGAATGATATGATCATCAATAGATGGAGAAAAAGCTTTTCACAAAAGCACAATATTTAATGTAGTAAAAGTTCTGGAGAAGCTTGGGAATGCAAAGGAAATAATCTCAACACACACACACACACACACACACACACACACACACACACACACTACATTATTCAGGGGTTTCCATGAATCATTCATCCTCTGAATTATGTAATAATTCAAAACACTTTAAACTTCCTTCTTCCACTCAAACCAGATAATATTGACATTAATGACATTCAAAAACAGTGCTTGGTCCACATAAAAAGTGTGGCAGGAAAAGTTTGTACTGAGTCTTGTGAATAAGGCTTATGTAATATAAGCAACGGGAGTAATTGCACATAGAGAGTCTTAGTTCTAATGTATGCAACATTGTACAGTCTGTTGTCCAAACAGCATGATATCTGATATCATACTATGGGCTTGGCTTCTTTTGTTAATATTTTAGGATTTTATTACTGCAGTTTAAAAGTAAGCTTTCTCTTCAGGAGCAATTATGTTTCTCTCTTTATATATATATTCATGGGCTTCCATGAATCATCCATTCTGTGAATTATCTAAAAATTCAAAACACACACACACACACACACACACACATATATATACATACATAGATATATTTATATTGATTAAGAAACACTCAAAAGATGAAATATTTTCTTCATGATCATAATTTTCAGTAATGCAAATGAATTAAAAAATGAAACTATAGCTTAAAAATCAAAGATAATTAAGGGGAAATACCATGCAAGAAAATATTTGCACTTATAGAAACAAGAGGCTTTCAGAAGGGCTTGAAAAACATGCAAAAAGCTAAAACAGAAATTCACCTTCACTTAGATTTAGCAAGAAGTGTTAAAATTTCATTGAAAACCTCTTCTCTAGCATTTAATCCCACTATAAAATCAAGATGGCTAAAATCAGGAATATTTTTATGATACATGAGGTTGGAGATTTTGGGCACCAAATTTGCAACATCATTTGGATTAGCCAAAAAATCTTTGTCACCAGTCCACATGGCTATTGGAACCTTCACATCTTCCACATTGTATAATGGAGGAGTAATCTAATGGAAAATGGTAAGGAGCAACGCATTAACAAAATAGTCACAAAAGTTTAACAAAACATTCACAAAAGTATCAAGCTCTTAGTGGCTTATTCTCACAAAGACAGGATATTTATAATTATGTGGTTATTATGTCCATAGAAACTATTGATAATCTCAGGCTTTGTTGTAAAAATTAATTTTATTTGTGTATACTTGTTTATTTCAGATTTCTCACAGCTACTTTCCATGTAGTCTGTGTTGGATTCCTGCCAGAATCCTCCCCTCTCAGCACCCTTAATCCTGAGGTTACTGGGATGTGCCACCACACCCAGACTTTTATCCAAGCTTGAAATCATACAAGACCCCAAATTCTCTGCATGTTGGTTCTTTATATGTGAAATGACGGTAACAATAAAATCGGATAAATCCCACATGATTTTGTGAGATTCAAATGATGTGATAGATAGAACCTTGTCACAGTATCATCATAAAAACATAATGTGATTTGTTTTGAATCCTCCCAAAGTTCTGTGCAGTTCCTCTTCCTAAGAAAATAAAAATGTTCATAGTCTTATTTTACAAAGAAGGCTTTGGATAGATTTCTTAGACTCCATGCCTTTTGTCAGGGCCAGATCATTAAATCTGGAAAAAGAGATTTACCTGATTGTAGTGTAGCATATTTTGAGATGGACTTCCCCAATCATAAGCCTGAAACACACCTTTCTTAATTGCCTTAAAACAAAAATAAAACACACCATTACCTACAAAGCCTTATATTGTAATAGAAACAGAAGTTATTGAGTTTTATGCTTTTTTTTTTTTTTTTACAATAATGACACATTGGCCCAGAAAAACCCAGTACATTTTCTGTCTTAATGATCATCTGTACTACCTGATTAGAACTAGTAAGTTATAGTCCTAGAAAATTACACATAACATGAATAGGTATAAGCGGACCTCGGAAATGTAAACTTACTTTTTTAACACCTCAAGCAAAACATAATTCACAAACATTTGAATAATGTTGAAAAAGTATTAACTCTTACTCACAGCAAGAAAAGTCAATAACAAGCTGAGAAATTTCGTGATAGATAAAAAATGTAGTATTTAGATATGCAAAATCTATGTATAATTTAGTTTTAGCACAAATGTTTCGATTGTATGTATTTTAATTATCAAATGTGTTTAATTATTGAAATCTAAATGTTTATAAGAAGAGTAAAATAGAAAATGACTACTTGTAGAAGTTGCTTTACTACTTCATAATTCAAGTGAATTCAGAACATATTTCAGAGTAAGTTGGTCATTGTTTGCACTAGCATTTTATATGTAATGAAATTTGTGTACTTCATATATAATTTTATTTATATAATTGTTCTGTAGTATTGCATAACACAAGAATTTTCAAAAAATTAAGCTATAATTATGTTATATATTCTCCGTATCTAAAAGCAGAAAAAACTAAGAAATTAAAATGATCAGAAATAAGTAACAAAAACAATGTAGAAATGTTAAGAGAGTTGCAGAGTCCTGAATAGAATTTTGTCAGCAAAGCAATATAAAGAAGCATCTCCTGGATATGACAACCACTTGGTTTATTGACAATGGGATAATAGAATACAAGGTTTCATGCCAGTAAAGATGCGTGACATGCAAAGTCATGTTCATGTGAAGAATTTAAATAATATATGTTAAAATGTTATAAAAAACAACCCTTGTATGACAGGCTTGCTTCCTATGTGTAGGAACCAGTTTACCTCTTGTTAAGTGATATTAGTAAGATGAGCTCATTCTATCCACAGTGTCTTGGCTGACACATGTGGGATTTTTCTAAATAAACAGGTATAAAAGCTATGACAGTTTACTCATAGACCTTAAAGACACCTACCATTCATCTTGTATCAGTCTATTCAGTTAATTTCTAAAGTTAGTGTTACTTGGTCATAAACATATATATATATTTGCTGACTGGAATCAAAAGCCATTCTCTTTGAGGATAAAATAATACAACAACTCTGCTTTTATCATATTTTTCCACAAAGGTTCTGGATCCTTGTTAGTTCCCTTGAATCTATCAAATGGGGTCTAACACCCTTACCACAAAACTGACTGGGGAAGACATTTTTCTGAAACTGGTAAGGGAAGAGAATCTCAAAGACAAGAGGAAAGAAAGAAACGTTTTAAAACATTGTACCTGAGAATAATGTAGGAGAATTTGAACTGATGTTCCGGCTAGACTTAGCTTTACATACACGTCAACGCGGCTCTAGGAGAGAATCAGGCCACAAACATCAGTCGGTACTTAGTCTCCTCTCACAGAAACAAATCTTTCAAAATAGTGAGGCTGTATTTCTCCCAAATAACGTACACATTCGCGAGCTGGAGGGAGGGCTAAGTGGTCACAACCACTTGTCCTCGCAAAGGACACAGATTCAACTCCCAACACCCAAACGTGTGGCTCACAACCACCCATAGCTCCAGTTCCCGAGTCTCAGTGACTCCTGTGTGCATCGGGTGGTGCACAGACATGCACGAAAATAAAACACCCACGCACAAGAAATATTTCAAAGGTAAAAGAAATATAGATCCAGTCAGTTTTGTAGGGAAAGACTGGACTTTGACCACAGTAAAGAATCTAAATGTTCTTGTTTCAATGACAGTTAAAATAATTTTTTTTTTGAAATTAAAATACAATTACATTATTTTTCCCTTTCTCGGTCCTTCAATCCCTACCACATACACTCCTCTGATTTCTCTCAAATTCATGACCTATGGATTCTTTTTTCAAAATTGTTATTATATGTTTCTAAATATACAAATACAGTCTTTTCAAGCCATATAACTTTCCTTGTATGTCTATATTTTTAGGGCTGAACACTGCGTTTTAGTAAGTAGAGTTAGTGCACACACTAATAGTTTTGTGTGAGCTGCTCAAGATAGTTGACTCCAATTTCATTAACAATATACGGATACATTTTGTGTGTTATTATGTTAAATTGTTCTATGTTAAATTAAAAAAGGTAACTTGATATGAGGCTCAAAATTAGGCAAAGTTTAGATATTAACAATGTGTGAGCCAATTTATTTACTTGTCATGTCTTAACAAATTTCTTTTTGTTAATGATTCATATTGTATACTATTGTTTATGTGGAACTATTCTTAATCTGGAACAGAAGTGCGGAGCTGGATGACCAGTTACCGGAAGAGTGACAGCGGATGTGTTACACTGAAGTGAACAGAAGAAAAGATGAGAGCCCTCCATCCATGACGTCAGCTATCCATTCACATGCGTTGCATGACAGATCTTCCATGCTGTCATGACAATAACTTGGGAATTGTATGCAAAACACATCTTGATTTTAATATAGGTCATACTAAATGAATTAAGGATTAATTAACTGGACAGACTGCAGGATTAATTATCTCAACTGCATAAAAAAGGAAAAACAAAACAAAGAATTTGAAAGAAAAAGACACAAACCATGTTTAACTGCTTTGGAGCATATCCATTCAGCGATCCCAGAAGAGCCGCGCATCCAGCATTGAGCACCTTAATGTTGCAAACGTATTCAGACAGCTTACTGAAAGCTACAGTAGGCAAAAATTCTTTTTCACCAAAAAGGAGCTGAAATTGACCAATTTGAAGAGCAGCTCTTAGTCTGCGAAGGTGTTTTGTTAGATAGAAGGCACAGTGCACATACTTTATGCAGAGTGAAAGAGATAAAGATGTCATGTGGATTAGCTTAGTTCCCTGTTATGACATTCAGTATGTAATTTTAGAGAAAGCGCCCCAAGATGCACTAATCAAAAATCTCCCTTCTAATCAGTTTAAATTGGACGACAACTTCCAAGAATCACGACCATTGTGGGCCGACAGCAATCTTTCTGTGTTTTTGTCGTGGAGGCGTTACTCAGGGCTAATGCCTAGAGGACTCGTTAAACTAATGTATGACAATGGCTATATTTTGATGCATTTTTACCAAGAAACGAAAGCACATCCGTACAAAAACTCCTAAACGAATGAAACTGGAAAAAGACTGGCCACTTCCATCAGTAGGGCCTACACAGATTAAGCGACCGTTATGTTTACCCGATGGAATATTATTCTTTCACCAAAGAGGTCACCGTAAGGCTACAGCACAGGTGAACTAACAATGTTTACACCAGCTGAGACAGCTGACATGGAGGACGCCATAGAACGTGATTCCGTTTAGACGAAACGACTAAGATCTGTAGCTTCAATAGACACAGGCGTGAGTCGAGACGCTGGGAGGAGGAGACAGTGGCAGCTTTCGTTTTGAAATGATATCAGGTGGTGTTAATTGAAAACTAGAGTTTTTCAAACACTGGAAATTAGTCTGTGAGAGAATTTCGTATGTGAGAAAATATTAATCTAACTAATTGGATGTGTGTTACCCATCTCCTGCCCAAACAGGCTCCCAGCCAGGAAATCTTTATAAACTAATAAAATTTGGAGAAGACCAAGGCAGCTAAGGTTTCTGTCAAAGGAGGTGAAATTCAAAGATCTCTAGAGATTCTACATAGATTCTCAGCGTGCTATGGACTACACATCTGTTTGAGGGAACAAAGTGGGGGCCAGGGAATGAACCACTGGAAAGACTCGGGAGAGCTGAATGTTCTGATGTGAGCCGGTCTCCAAGCCGCAAAATAATTGTTTTTTTGTAGTGATTAGACTGTGACTAGCCTAGAGGGTGAACCGAGACTTCTTTATGTCTTTTAGGAGGCTAAACTTAGAAAGAGATCATAGGAAAAGGGTACACAGCCAGTACTTCTCAGAAAGGGACATAGCAAGTGGGTGTTCCGCTCAGTTGCTCTGTTGCCTAGCATTGCATAAAACGTTCACACACAGCAGGTTCGAGGAGAGCCTATGGCATATAAAATTCTGTCTCAAATAAAAATAAAATAATAGACATAAAATAAAGAAGAAACGTAAATGTTAATTCTTAAAACTGTAAATGCCACTTGTTCTGCCTGCTCTGGTAAAAATAGAAAATTATTTATAGACAAGATAATACATCAGAAAAACTGAGGTTTTTCTCTGGAATGAAAGCTAGTTTAATTTTCAGAAAATTGGTGATTCACCTTGTTAACAGACCATAATCAGGCATAATCTCAGTAGATACAGAGAATGCATAGAACACCTGCCAACGATTTCTTGTTGACAACTGGCAATAAAAGTTAACATCCTCAGACTACGAAACCAGAAATCTGTGAAAAGTTCATAGATTAAATACTTTACCTAACTGTATATTAGAACATGTTTCTCACTACATCTATGGAAATAAAATACAGATAAAATGCATGCTCTTAACCTAGGGCCCTTGCACACATGTAGCCAACGGCCTACCCGGTCTTCATATGGGTCGCCTGGCAAGGAGTGGGGGCTGTTTCTAACATGGACTCTATTGTCTGTGTTTGGATCACTTCTCCTTGGCAGCGCTACCCCTATCCTGGCCTCAGGGGATGAAGACATTCTCAGTCTGGAGGTGATTTGATGTGCTGGGGAAGGTTAATATAGGGAGAGGGAGCTCCTCTTTTCTCTAGGGAAATGGAGAGGGGAAGGGGGAAGAAGAGGAAGTGGGGGGACTGGGAGGAGGGAAGGGAGGATGAACCCTCAGGATGTAAAGTAAATAAACACACACACACACACACACACACACACACACACAAACACATACATAAATGCAGGGAATATAGAAAGCTATAAAAATTTAAATAGAAAAAGATGATTAAAAAAAATCTGTGGCCAGGAGAGGGGGTGTTATTTTCTTCAATGGTGAGTTGTCCATCTGCACGCAGTCCCTTCTCATGTTCATGCAAAAAAACCCAACTAGGCTCAGTGAGAGTAGAAGGAAGATGAATTGGGAAGAAGGTGTCATTCAAAGGGAGGAGGATGGATAAGAGAGAAAAAAATGGGTGAATATAATTGAAACATTGCACACAGGTATGATGGGGTAAAATGAGTAGAGGAAAAAACTGCAATATATAAAACATAATACTATATGTCAAAATTAAAGGAATCTACAAAAGGACAAAATGGAACGGGCTCAAATTAGTCATTGTGTAGAGCAAAGTTACAGGGTGCAGACATACACACACATACACACACACACACACGCACACACGCACACACAGTTTGAGATCTCAACAAACAACAGAAATCATTTAAACAGAACCCTAAGTGGAGTTACACTCTGCTTTGGGGAGATAGACAACAGAAAATGAACAAGTTGTATTTCTTGTGGGTTTAATACAAACTACGATGCTGATTTAAAGTATAATGTAAGGCTCTGAAAGAGAACAAATCTAGGTGATTCAGAATTGCTGACATCCAGGAATACTAGGAAGATTTTCATAGCATAAAATGACAGATTATCCTTCTCAGAACCCTAGGAGACCAGGAGAGTTACAACTGAAGAAAAGAAAGTAGTTGCTTCTTATGATAATATTGCCAAGCACAGATTTAAATTTTTATCATGTAAAAAAGAGAATGGCAGCTTAATTTCTCTATGTTTTTCTTGTTTCGTTTGATGCTTATTTGAGATATTTTGCTGTGTGTTCTAGGCCTGCCTAGTACTACCTCTGTAGCTCAGCCTGACCATAAATTCACAACTGTTCTGCTGGTTCTGCATTTACATGTATGGATTAAACTTTCTAAAATAAAATGAACATTTTCAAGATAATACGCATTATTTAAAATGTTGGACATATAAACGAGACATGAATGAAGTGTTTAACGATAAAGAGATATTATTGGATAAGAGAGAGGATACAATTGAAAAGAAGCTCTACCGAGAGTCACACAGTAATGAAAACGAAACCATAGTTTGGTACGCTAAACCAAACAGATGGTGAAATGTGTTTAAGCAGCTTAAGTGGTGGCAAGGATGTACAGGAATTTTGCCATCATACTTCGATGGTGGCAAATAATATAGACAATTTTGGAATCCTGATACTGTCCCATCATGGGAAGCTGTGCAGGTGAGTGAGCAATAGACTGTACAGGTAGATCTCTGCTGTAGCAATCTTACTTAGAATGCGTAAATATACCACTGCTCTGAGTTCATCACAAACCTTGAAAGTCTCTGGAGTGAAGTAAGCTGGAGAGCGCCCAGTACCTTTGACATGTTTAACAGTAGCAATTGGAGCCAGTAAAAAAGCGATTTTAATCTTTTCAGCCAGTTGTTGATTTGTTGCAAACGCCCCCAGAGCTGAAAGAAATTTAAAAATTAAAAAAGTATTTTGCTGCTGTTCCCTCCTTTTTAACATTTTCTGCATGCTTAGGCTGTCTCACAGAGATTATGTCTGCTCTTTGCCAATTAAAAATTGGCCCTGAATATTTCCCTTAGTTTGCTCACCAGAGTGCTAAGACATTAAATTCTTTAAGTTCCATTCAATTCATTTCTCCCCTCCCCCCACTTCATGTTAATGACTCTGTTAATGATTTACCATTAGAAAAAAACATTCTGGAAGAGAGAAAGTATTCTGCCCTCTAAGTGCTCTCTCTACTACTTTGGTATTTGTTACTTTTTAATACTTTGATGAATCTGTGATTTTGGCTTTTTCTTCTCTGGTCAGTGTGAAGCTTGTTTACATTTATGATTGGTTTGCACGCACCCTTCGATATTTTCACTGCTGCCTCGCATTTTGAAGTACCATGCTGACCACATTTACAGATCAGCACTGCACTTTTTAAAAAAATAAAATCTTTCCAGGCTCTTGGAAAAGACACCAAACAAACATTGATTTGAATGCTCGCTAGTTATGTCTTCACGAGTGTCTTTTGTATCACCTCCAGCTCACTTCTGCAGGCGCATACATATATACTAATCTATTCACTGACCTACCTGTAATCACAATCGATCTGCCCATCAGTCATCTATCTATCACACTATAAACCAAACAAATGCATGAATTAGAAACATTTTCCCTAGCGGTCAGACAGTTGGAACCATCTGTCCTTTGTCACGTTTGATTTTCTTTGAAAGTATGTACTCTGTACAAGCCCAAACAATATCAGTGGAAGCTGTATGAGAACTGATAAAGACAGGATGTCGTAAGAGCTCAGTGAAGCCAGATTCATAATACTATTCCTAAACAGAACTGACACACCAAACTTCCACACATATGATACCCAATGAGGAAGAACACACACACAGTGAGTCATTAGTCTCAGAATTTCTAGCTGTAGGGAATCCTAGGAGTATCTCACAATGCACTTCATTTAAATATCTCATGTGTTAGAAACTATGGTTTTAACACTTGACATTTTAAAAGCAGCCTACTGTTGTTATTTTGTCATAGAGCTTGTCTGTGTTTTACAAACTAGTACAAATTATACATGTATATTTGTGTTCTTCAGGATAAAATTTCTGAACTGTTCTTTTTTAGCATACCGATAAGGGTGCCTTGAGAATGGCCAAAATAATAAATCTGCTTTTGTCCTGTTTTCTTCAGAATGAAATCAATAGTGGCTGGAAGGTCATATTTTATCATTTCATCATAACTGCAAGAAAACAGAATGGACAAAGTGTGATTTAATTATTAACCAAGAAGCCAGATATGCTGGTGTGTGCCTGAAATCCCACCAATGCCAAGGCAGAAATAAATATATGCCAGCGGTTTGGCTGAGGCAGCCAGCCTATCCTAATTAGAGATTTCCCAGCTGGACAGTATGACTGAAGAGTGATACTTGAGGTCATGCCCTGATACTCACAGAAACATGTGTACATGAATATATATGTTTTATACACTTAAGCATGTATACACACACACATACACACAATCAGGATACACAGTTAAGGAAAAAAGTAATGGAGCATGGCTGAATGCAAAATTCTACGTTTGTCAAATCATTCTTTTAAATGTATCAACTTTGCTTCGATGAAAGAATTTTACACAGACATGGTTGAGGCCAGTGAGATTGCTGTGTACTCAAGGGTGCTTGTCCGAGCCAGTGGCCCTGAGATTGATGCCCAGGACCAACGTGGGTAAAGGAGATAACCAACTTCCTTAAGGATTTTTTTTTCTGACATCCAGACACACTCCAAAGCATTTATATATACACACACGCATGTACCCTCACATGAGTGCACACACACACACACACACACACACACACACACACACACAAACAAGTACAAAGTTGTGGACTGATTAGAAAAGTAATTAGTATCTCAAGAGCAGAAAGTTATGTTATAATGAGAATTTTATTTTAATTATTAGTTATAGCAACCACAAAACAAAGTCCTAAACTATGTCACCCAAATCAGTCTTCTAAATTATCGCTCCAAGTGAAACGCCTTCAATCCAGTTCCACAAATTCATTTATTCATTAAAATATTTGACACGGTTTTAAGGCAAAAGTAAAATGACAGAGAATTGTTCCCTACCTGAAAGCCCAGAATTCTTCAGAATCTGTAGTTAAGTTCACGTGTTTCTTTGCCCAGGTACTTCCCCTGCTGTTTCCCATCCACACATCATACCCAGCATCTGCTAGAACAAAGGCCAGGCTGTTGTTGGGGGGATTGGCAACCCACACACCAGCGGTTGAGAACAAGCCATGCTGACAATATACTACCGTCTTTGGGCCTGCAAAAACAAAAACAAAAACAAAAGCTTTACAACATTAGGGTCTACTGAAAATGGAAGCAACAAATTTCAAATAATCACAATGGAGCAAAAAGATTTTGAAAGTAGCAAGCAGGGATGTGCTAAGACTTCATTTCACTTGTATTAAGTCAGTCAATATTAATCAATATTTGCATGGACAAAAGAAGAATCATTCCTTCAAGGTCTTTGTCTTCCTCCTACCTCGCCCTCCTCAAACATAATTTCTTTAGCACTTCTTTTTATCTTTTAGATTTTATAGTTTGTAGTTATTTAAAAGGAATGGTCTGTTACCTTATGAAATCCAAATGCAAATACACAGAAATGCCAATGACCAAACACCCGAAGATTAATACGCAATTTCTCTAAACTCACTGGACTCAAAAAACACTAGGGCATGCTAGATGGATATGAGGTGTGAACCAGATCTCATGTGTTACCATCTGGAGAGTAAACTCTGAGTCCTTACAAGAGCAATCTAGAGGGTCTCACAGGTGTAGTGTGCTTGAAAGTTCTGTCACTTACTTAGGGACTCAGGGCCACCAGTCGATACACATCATTGTCCCCATGGTGAGCAGTAAATGCCAGGTTCCAATACACCCCCAAATTTAACCATGGGAGTCAGGCAGCTCTAATTGCTCTGTTGAAATCACTCAGTTTGAAGGTAGTTATTTTATAACTCATTTCTTGGAATGCCATTGCGTCAGGGAGTTGACAGCTTCAATATTCTTCTCACTCTGACCTTACCTGAACTATTAGTGTTAATTCCATGAGGAATTCGGTTAATTAGAAGGATGTAACCATCATCAGTTACAACCTCATACTCTTCGCCTGTATATTTCCAGTGGGCAATAATCTCACTCTAGGAGAGAAAACATACAGCAATGAATTCCATGATTCCTTTATTCTACTCTGTAATTTTTCATGATACTTAAAAGAGAATTTCTTCTTGAAATGAAGTCATCCTTCATGTTCAGATTTTAACAGATGCAACAACTCAGAAAAGATGAAAGAAACTAATAGAGATAAGGCAAATGCATGCACTTTTATTGGTGATAAGAATAGCTTACAACGTTCATACGAGCTTCAGGATTCACATTTCTTTCAAATAGACAAAATATCTTTCCAAATACATGGATAAGGCACATTGAACTCAGCAGCCGCTGCATTTTCAATCTGCAGGGAAATAGTTATTGTCATGATATAGATAGGGGTACAGTACTAACTCAGCTACTGCATGTATGTAATATCCATGTGTAACCTTCAAAACCGAAAGTTTTCACATTATATAAGAACCTTAGCCAAACTGTATACCTTTCAAAGAACATCTTAGAAAAAAAATTAAAATAGACAATACTGTGTTTAAGTCATCTCTTCTTCCCTTAGCTGTTCTTAAACGTGAAATAATACTAACAATTGCTGAAAAACATTACTGATGAATATCTTGGATTTATCCTAAAGGACTAAGATTCATATATAAATTTTTGGTTAACAACTTTAAAGAAGTTAGTTAATTCAAAATTCTTTAGAATTTTGACAGCAGAGTGAAGGCTGGAGGAAAGGTCAAGAAAAGAAAGCACAGAAGGATAAGAAACAGAGCGAAGGGACTTTCACATGTAGAGGCTGTGCATACCAAGGCATCTTGTCTGGCCACCATATCTATTTGCCCTTCTTTCATAACTATGTAAAGCACCTATATTCCATTAATGTTCCTAGAATTTCTAAAACATGTGCTTTTTAAAAAACACAAACACGAGCAATAAACATCTATTTTCCACTCCCTGTAAGTATTATCTTAAAGTGATATTTTGAGCACACGTTTTTTTTTAATTTAATTTAATTTTTTTCTTATCAGTTATATTTTATTAACTCTGTATCCCAGTCGTTTCCCGCTTTCTCATTCCCTCCCAATCCCACCCTCCCTCCCCTCATCTCCACCCTGCCCCTTTCCAAGTCCACTGATGGGGGGGGGGGGACCTCCTCTCCATTCATCCAATCCTGTTTTATCAGGTATCACGGTTTTAATAGCCACAAATTTGTCAACTCAGGTTGCTATAGATGTTATGGACCTCACAGGGAGTGTCCCTGCTTCTGTCCCAAGCACAGGACATGGCTTCTGATCTTACTTCCACTGTATTTTTTTTTTGTTCAATTCCCAAATATTAAGATGCTAAGTAAGGTGGAAAAAAGGAAAAATACACATTAGCAAAATAATCTTAACAACAAACCAAGGTTGCAAATTTCATCATGTTGTGCCCAATGTCTAAATAACTTCACCTTTTGCTGATTTAATACTGAACCTAAAGCAATAACACAATTCACAGTTTTAGAGTATCATACTCACTGTCACCAAATATAAATGCTTTTGAAGTCTTGTAGTCTGAAAGAAATCTTAATTATCTTCTTTTCCATCCTGCTCACCATAAATATATCAGTGAGTGTATTTGTTGGATGACCTTTGATCAAATGGACCGTGCCTATTTTAGCCATGAACTTGGCAGAAGGCAAATGTTGCAGAGCTCTCACGATTATCATGGCTCCTTAGATCTGGGTTGGTTATATGCCAATGTCCTTCTTAGTACAAATCCTCATACTTAGTGTAAATACTAAAGCTTTCTTTAGCTTTGAAGCAGTAGAACAATTCATCATGCTGTATTTTCCTCAAAACTGTAATTGTGACCCTCTCTTTTTACTGAATAAGTTTGAGACCTGTTGTATACAAAGTGACAAAATGAATCATGATAAAGATTTCTGTTATATTTAATCACTGAGTAGTATTCTATTGTATAGATGTACCATACTTTCTGTATCCATTCCTTGGTTGAGACACATCTAGGTTCTTTCCAGATTCTGGCTATTACAAATAAAGCTGCTATGAACATAGTTGAACAAATGACCTCATTGAATGGTGGGACATCTTTTGGGATATATGCCTAGGAGTGGTATATCTGGATCTTGGGGTAGCACTATACCTAATTGTCTGAGAAAGCACCAGATTGATTTCCAAAGTGGTTGTACAAGGTTACATTCTCACCAGTAATGAAGGAGGGTTCCCCTTTCTTACACAACCTCTCCAGCATAGGTCATCTCTTGAATTTTTGATCTTAGGCATTCTGATGGGTATGAAGTGGAATCTCAGGATCTTTTTGATTTGTTTTTCCTGGATGACTAAAGACATCGAGCATTTCTTTAAGCATTTCTCTGCCATTCAATATTCATCTATTGAGAATTCTGTTTAGCTCTGTACCCCATTTTTTAATTGGATTACTTGGTTTGTTGGTGTTTAACTTCTTCAGTTCTCTATATATTCTGTATATTAGCCCTCTGTCAGATATAGGGTGAGTGAAGATATTTTTCCCAGTGTGTAGGCTGTCATTTTGTTATGTTGACAGTGTCATTTGCTTTACAGAAGCTTTTCAGTTTCATGAGGTCCCATTTAGTAATAGTTGATCTTGGAGCCTGTGCTGTTGGTGTTCTGTTCAGGAAGTTGTCTCCTGTGACAATGAGGTCAAATACTACTCAGCAGTTAAAAACAAGGAAGTCATGAAATTTTTAGGCAAATGGTGGGAATTAGAAAAGATCATCCCGAATTAGGTATTCCAGAAGTAGAAAGACACACATGGTATATACTCACTTATAAGTGGATATTAGACATATAATGCAAGATAAACATACTAAAATGTTCTAAAGAAGCTAAACAACAAGTAGGACCCAAGGAAAGAGGCTGAAACCTCACTCAGAAGGGCAAACAGGATAGACATTGGGTGTAGGAAAAGACAAGGAACTAGACAGGAACCTTCCACAGAGGCCCTCCAGGGTATCGAAGGAGATACTGAGACTCGTAGCCAAACTTTGGGCAGAGTATAAGAAACCTTATGGAAGAAGGGGGAAATAGAAATACCTGGATGGGACAGGAACTCTACAAGGAGACCAACACAGCCAAAAAACCTCAGGAGAGGGGAATCTGCAGAGACTCATACTCCAACCAAGGACCATACATGAAGAGGACCTAGAGCCCCTGTTCAGAAGAAGCCCATAAGCTGCTTACTTTCCAAGTAAGTTCCCTAGTAAGGGGGCAGGGGCTATCTCTAATTTGAACTCAGTGACTGGCTCTCTGATCAAATTCCCCTGGTAGGTGCAGCCTTGCCAGGTCACAGAGGAAGATGCTACTGCCAGCCCTGATGAGACCTGATAATCTAGGTTCAGAGGGAAGAGGAGGAGGTCCTTCCTTATCAGGGGACTAGGAAAGGAGTATGGGGGAGAAGAGGGAGGGTAGGTGGGGGACCGAGAGGAGACAAGGGAGGGAGCTGCAGAGGGGATACAAAGTGAATAAATTGTAATAAATAAATATGTAAATAAAAATAAAAAACTTAAAAAGAATAAAGATTCCCTGCACTGTGCCCAAAGTTTGGCTGAGTCTCAGCATCTGACTCGATACCCTGCTGGGTAGAGCCTTACAGAGGTCCCCTGTGGAAGGCTCCTGACTTGTTCCCTGTCTTCTCCCACTTCCAATGTCTATCCTGTTTGCCCTTCTGAAGAGTAAGCATCTTTCCCAGGGTTCTCCTTGTTTAGCTCCTTAGGACTATAGATTTTAGTATGTTTATTTTATATTATATGGCTAATATCCACTTATAAGTGAATATATACCATGTGTGTCTTTCTGCTTCTGGGTTACCTCACTCAGAATGATCTTTTCTAGTTCCACCCATTTTCCTGAAACTTGCATGATTTCCTTATTTTTAATTGCTGAGTAGTATTCCATTGTGTAAATGTACCACACTTTCTGTATCCATTCCTCAGTTGAGGGACATATAGGTTGTTTCCAGATTCTATCTAATATGAGTAAAGCTGCTATGAACATAGTTGAGCAAATGTTCTTGTTGTATGGTTGAGCATCTTTTGGATATATGCCTAGGTGTGGGATAGCTGGACTTGAGGTTGCACTATTCCTAATTTTCTGAGAAATGCCAGATTGATTTCCAACGTAGTTACAGTTTAGAGGACAGGAGTTCCACACAACAGAGGCAATAATAATAATAATAATAATAATAATAATAATAATAATAATAATAATACCTAGGCTCTCAGGGTCCTGAAGATGCCAATGAATCAAGCAAGGACCACACTTGGAGAGGACCTAGATGTCCTGCTCAGAATTGCCCATGGGCAGCTCAGTCTCCATATGGATTCTCTAAGTAAGGAGTGCTGGGACTGGCTCTGACATGGATTCAGTGGCCGGCTCTTTGATCACCTCCCCCTGGCTTGGTGGCTTAAGTAGGCCACAGAGAAAGAGGATCCAAATAGTCTTGATGAGGCTTGATAGGCTAGGGTCAGATAATAGGTGAGGAGGACCTCTCCATTCAGTGGATTAGGGGAGGCATATACCGGCAGAGGAAGAGGAAGGGAGGGTGAACCCGGAGGAGAAAAGGGAGGGGCCTACAACCTGGATACAAAGAGAATACATTGTAATAAATAATAACAATAAAGAAAAAAATTAAAAAGAAAAAAACAAACTTCAATCACCAAATTAGCAAAAATATTTGCAAATATATTCTCATATTGGTTACATGAATGCAAACTGAAACAATATCCTGGGAAAATATATTTCATCGTCTAGCACAATTAAGACATACATTTATTCCTTTTACAAAATTCTATCCCTACCTTTCCAGAAAGAAATCTGGCACACTGATTTCAGAAAATGCATAAGCTACTGTTTGATGTGTCCACGTGCTTGGAGGTTGATGTCCTGAGTTACAGAACTGATATGATGGAACCCTCAGGAAGTGGACCCTTTCTGAAATTATTAGGTAAGGATTATTATTATATGGATTGATGCTGTATCTCATAAATAGGTCAGCTATTGCTGGGAGGGATGTTTCAAAAAGAACTTTTGTTATAAACATAAGACAAAAGCACCCTTGCCTTGTTTCCAAGTCTTGCTTCCTAGATTTCCCTGACTTCTTTTCCCTGCACTTCTTACTGTGTTCTGCTGCCTGGCATCTTGTACCCCCAGGTCTGAGCACCTACCATGCTCTAAAAGCTATAGAAGTTTGAGCCACCTGAAGCCACCTTTCACCATGTGCGAACCCACAAGTTTTCATTCTCCCTTTAAGCGCTGTAGTTTGTCACTAGGCCACTGTCCCACCTTACAATGAAGGAACACCCA